GTTGCCTCCCACTTTTTTTTTTTTTTTTTTTTTTTTTAAATTGCACTTCATCTTTGATTATGTAGTTCATGGTAAGCTTAATGACGGACCTGTGTTTTGTTTTTCTTTCTTCAATGTAAGGGGGACTCGGCTCCCAGGTACAAATGTCATGTATGTGAGAAGTGCTTCACTCGGGGAAACAACCTCACTGTACACCTACGGAAAAAACATCAGTTCAAATGGCCATCTGGACACCCAAGATTTAGGTATTGCTTCTCATTATTTCTCTAATGCAGATCTTTTCTCTATAGGTCCAATAGAAAAACTGCCTCCCTTCAGGCTTGCCAGGAGACCGCTTTACCATTAGGGCCTACAAAATAAGCCAGAGCGTGTCTAGTATGCTTCACCAGTCAAGGGGGGAGGCTGGGTGGTTGGTCCCAACTTAAATAATAATAATAATAATAAGATAATAATCCTCCTTTTAAGACATGCTGAGAGGCATCTGGTTTAGGTGTTATATCCATATTTTATCCAACTGGTCTTGGACCTTCTCAAAGTCTATTTAGCAGTGACCCCCATCGCATACTTAACCTGCAATACTCCTTCTATTACTAACCATGAACATAGCACTATTCTCATCTGTAACAACAGCCAAAGAAAGCTTCATAAGTAAAGGCACAATCTGATATTAAAATGGAAGACCTTAGAATAGAGTTGCTTCTGTTATTAGGGATGTGCAGATACTGTTTTTTCCGGTATCGAGTACGATGAATGATATTTATCTTTCGGTACTCGCTGATATCGAAACTTCCGCTAGCGTAGAGCCAGCTTTGGTAATGACTCGCCGCCTGGCTTCCTAATTGGCTGGGAAGCCGACTACATGTTTCCTCAGGGCCCTGCCGGTAAGAGAAAAATCTCCCTCTGACCGGAAGTTCTGGTATCTTGGGTAAGTATCCGAGCATCTGGGCGAGTAGAAGAACTCTGTACCGGCACCGTTACTTGTACCGGTGCATCCCTAGTAGTTATTGTCTAATGGAGTCTCAGAGCTCATCATTGCACTAAATTGCGCTCACCAGATTCATGTATAGGTCACATATTGGTATGTCTGAAATGAAAAACTTTTTTAAACTTACCGTATTGTATACATGATTATAAGTCTTTATAGAATGGATCTGTCTTTTTAATAATGCATTAACAATATAGGCAAAGCACCTTTTTAAGTAGGGCTTATGTGGTAGATTTATATACGTTTGTCACTTTTTTATTTCTCGCAGCATTGCCGTGCAGGTATATTGGACAAAGTTGAGCCCCCTTTGGACTTACACAAAGTTTGTCTCTGACTTAAGGGGGCCATACAAATTTCAGCTGGTTCTTGATGAACCGCTGTCGGCACGCCTTGATCAGCTCAATGTCTTTGAATGAACACAGCCTGCAGCCAGAGAGCTGTCTACTCTGTTCGGGTGTTCTGGCCGCCACTGTCAGAGGAACCCCTGCTGTTTCCTTTGTCTTCTATCAACGAGCTTGTAGCATTGATGGAGGGAATATGCTCTATTATATTTTTTTATTCAGCCCACTGGTAAAATGAAAGAGCAGTTTATGGCCAGCTTTACATTTCCAAACTTCTAACACCACAAATGTTTTACTGTCTTCTACTTTGGACTCTTCCAATGTGGGCAGACTACAAAATGAGCTCTATAGGGCGGCACAGTCATACACACAACTGTGCTCTTACCTGGAATTCTAGAAAACAAGTGTTATGCAGCATTTCAGAAAACTAATAAACATTAAACTATGTGAACCCTAAAAATGAACTCTCTTTTGACCTGTTGGATATACCATTGGCAGCATTTTTTGTTTTATCTGGTCAGAAATTCCAAGCTGTCACACCTACTCTGCACAATTCTTGTGTTATCTGAAAGATCGCTCCTAGTTTTTATCTTGGACTACACAACAATTAACCTTTATGTTGTGGAGATTTGAAGTGGTGGTGCAATTAACAAAACAATTGGCAGGACTGACACCGCTCAGTCCACCAAGAAGTTGTGTGTTGTCAGCCCACAAAAGTGCTTAAGAGCTGAAAGCATTTCTGGCAGAGCATCAGGTATTTTTCTGTATTTGCAAGCTTTTTTTTTATTAAAGGGTTAAACATGGGAAATGTGCATGTATTGCAGAGATGTACTGTTTTTTTTATTTGACGTGCATTTATTTTTTTTAAGGTATCGGTAGTGTGTGTATGTGTAAATTTTTTTTATATATATATATATATAAAAAATAATATTAGGGATGCACCGATACTACCACGGAGTGCTCGCCCAAATGCTTCCGATACTGGAACTTCCAGTATCAGGAATTCAGGCGGTGAGTCATTATACGCCTCCCAGCCAATCAGGAAGCTGAGTGGCGTGTAATGACTCGCTGCCTGATTGGTCAGGAAGCTGGGCAGCGAGTCATTACCCACCCCATGGCTTCCTGATTGGCCAAAAAGTTGGCTCCATGCTTCAGTCACCTGGTGACGAGGGAGCATGGAGTCGGCTTCCCGGCTAATCTGGAAGCCAGGGGGTGGTTATTACACGCCGCCTGGCTTCCTTAATGGCACGTCCGGTATTGGCATTCAGTATCAACGAGTAGCCAAAAAAAGTCAGTACTCAATCCGGAAAATCTGGTATTGGTGCATCCCTAAAAAATTATATAATTTGTTTTTTAAAGACAGAAAGCGCAAGCACAAAGTAAAGAATTGTGTTTCATGTTCTAAATACGTTTCTCCCACAGGTATAAGGAGCACGATGATGGGTTTTTGCGCTTGCAGTTGGTGAGATATGAAAGCGTGGAACTTACAGAACAGCTGATGAAAGAGCGTGAGAGGCAGGGTGCTACATTGGACGAAGCCTCTGCTTGTCTAGTGCTAAATCAAGGGGGCAGCACTGGATCTGAATCGGTGGATTTGGAGAAGACTGGGATGCAGAGGGACTACAGATACCAGTCACAATGACGCGTTTACAGAATATGCCCCCAACGGATTGACTTGCAGGCAGTGGGGCCTTGTGGGCTCAGCCAAGTCATTGGGGGGGACATTGTTAAATCTAGCAGACTGAAAGCTCCGGCACTTTCTGCCCTTGACTGCTGACACAGAACAATCTTCATTTACCTTGACACCTGAACAAGAAGTGGTCTCCGGATACTGGTGCTGAGCCAGCCGTACACACAGTTTGTGGCTCTGGATGTTGAAGAACTTAAAACTTATTTAAAAGTACCTTTCCTTAAAAAAAGGTTTTATTATTTATATGTCAAAGTGCACCATTGTGGACTGTGCAATAAAAAGCATTTTATCTGCAGAATCAGAGTTCTGTTTTTAGTCTGCATTTGTTTTTAATAGACACCATGACCTGTTAAAGAATTGGTGATGAATACTCAGATATGAGACTAAGCATTTTTTAACTGACATATGTATCATTATGGCGACTTTCCCATTTCTCAAAGTCTTGGCTAAAAAGGTCCAGATTACTTTATCTTAAATAAAAATTTTCTGATACCAGTTGAGTGGAAAATCATATTGTTATAGGTGCGTACACAGTGAAAAAAAAATAAAGTACGAACATACCTAGAATTGGATAATTAATCAGCCCTCCCCCCCCCCATAACAGGAAGAGCCTGAACAAGCACCTTCATGGCAAGATCAGCAGGTATTATTTTAATGAAAGCTGCAGATTTATAGGAGTGAATGACTTTTGAAGTTACATTGACATGTTAAAGCTCAGGTGAGTTTAGTTATTGAGTTTCATCTACTTCAATTATTTAACATGTTGTAGAGCTTGACAGTAGACCTGCTAGAATATATATGTGAAAACTATGATCACTTTTAGGCCTCATTCACACGGGTAACGGCTGGCACGTACAGCTCTGTGCACGGCCGTATCGGGCAGCTCCCGGGAAGACCAGGTGCTGCGTGTGATTAGTACGCAGCCCTCATCCTTCTCTATAGGACTACGCGGACGTACGCCACCCTACGCTCACCCCAAGTGCAGGTCCGTACTGGTGTCTAGGCTCGGACGCAGACAGGATCCATCCTTTCAGCGTACGGACACCCACACAGACGTACCGCCACGTAGTCCCATAGAAGACAGGGGCTGCGTACTAATCTAACGCAGCACCTGTCCTTCCGAGGAGCTACTCGATACGGAGCTGCACGTGCCGGCTTTTTCTCGTGTGAATGAGGCCTTAGGGGTCATCATGCAAAAAAATTAATGGCAAATCACCAATACGAAAGAAAAAAATAGCCTTTTTAATTTGCAAACAATTTCACAGTTGCAGTAAAAATCGTTTATTCATGCTATTGCTTATTAACAAAACATTTGTTTCCTTCAAAAGATAACTTCACATAATTTAAATTGCATGCCTGAAATGGTTGAAGGATATACTGTAAACTCAATAAAATAATGAATCATCTTTGTGCAAAATGCGGCGTATTGCTGCTCGGCCTCGAGTATCTCTACATGCTCATCCAACCAGGGCACGGTGATGCACATTGCACTTTAAAGGAAAACTTCATGCTTACTAAGAAAATGAAGTTATCTGCTGCATAAGCTATTTTGCAATTTAATATTAAAAAAACTTTCCAGTTCAACTTGCAGCCAACTAGCATCTTAAAGTGCCAAAAATGAAAATGGTACTTGCTTGCAATATGGCAGAATTGGGGTATCTAGTACACAGTGTTTGTTGGTATTGCCCCATGAAATCTAATGTCCCACTTGTGTGATTGGGGCATTGCCTTCCCAGAAGTCTCCACATAGCTTGGAGTTCAATGGATGCCTTCCCTGTCCCAGGTGTGTGTGTGATGGGGGCATTGTCTTCCCAGAAGTCTCCACATAGCTTGGAGTTCAATGGATGCCTTCCCTGTCCCAGGTGTGTGTGTGATGGGGGCATTGTCTTCCCAGAAGTCTCCACATAGCTTGGAGTTCAATGGATGCCTTCCCTGTCCCAGGTGTGTGTGTGTGATGGGGGCATTGTCTTCCCAGAAGTCTCCACATAGCTTGGAGTTCAATGGATGCCTTCCCTGTCCCAGGTGTGTGTGTGTGTGATGGGGGCATTGTCTTCCCAGAAGTCTCCACATAGCTTGGAGTTCAATGGATGCCTTCCCTGTCCCAGGTGTGTGTGTGTGTGATGGGGGCATTGTCTTCCCAGAAGTCTCCACATAGCTTGGAGTTCAATGGATGCCTTCCCTGTCCCAGGTGTGTGTGTGTGTGATGGGGGCATTGTCTTCCCAGAAGTCTCCACATAGCTTGGAGTTCAATGGATGCCTTCCCTGTCCCAGGTGTGTGTGTGTGTGATGGGGGCATTGTCTTCCCAGAAGTCTCCACATAGCTTGGAGTTCAATGGATGCATCCCCTGCAACAGGCATTTATTGTGGCCTTAAGACTCTCCATTCTCCCAGTTGGTTACATCAGGATAGGATAAGGCAGACTTTTTTTTCTCGTCAGAGAAAGGAAAGATTTTTGGTAAATATCCTAAAATCTTCTCTATGGATCTGGTTCACCAGAAGTGGATATCTTTTCTTCTCAACAAAACTGCAGTTTAACATAAGCAGTATGCATTTATAATGGCTCATACATATGGGCTGAATGGGAAAACATAAATCACAGCTTGGCAGCTATGCTGGGACATGCAGTACTGGGACAGAGGTAGAAGTGTTCTAAAATGCAACATCTATTCCATCACTTATCTCCACCCTGAGCACTCCCATTAACACTGGGCTTAGATTTTGTCTTTAGAGAAAAGTGCTTTAAGAGACGCCTTGGAAGACTGCCAATCTTCTTATGAGAGTTAGCAGAGGCATCAGACAAGTCGTCATGTGACTGGCTCAGACCTGCATTCTGACGATGCCGACTGAAGGGAAGCTTAGTGCCACTGCGGAGAAATCCAACTGCAAAAAATAAAATGAAAACAAAGACAGAAACGATTACATGGTGAGAAGCGGTTCAAGTATGACACGCAAAATAAAATACAAGTACTGGGAATATAAAAGAGGAGCTGAACTCTGGAGGCTGTGCAAAAAGAAAGGCAAGCAGAGAGCAAAAAAATCAATTATCCCGATATAGTCTGTGGTCTCCCTGCAGCTAATCGTCTCTTCATTACAGACTTACCATGCCTTGTTCTGCATTGTCTGTGCTACCGACTTGTCTATGCTACATGGTCTTTCTAGGTTACCAACTTTAGGAGAGGCAGGGCTTTGCTTCCTCCTCTAGAAAGGAAAACCATGAGCCTCAAATGACCTCACACTGCAGATATACAGCTATGAGGCTCTAAGCACAGGAAGGCCTAGGTACACTCATACCAGGGTGTGCAATGCTATTTTTCAGCAGGCATTTCAGACAAAAGGTCGATTTTTCATGGAACTGCTAAGTAACATTTCTAGATGTACCCTAGAACACAGCAAATCTTTGCTTTTTGAGTTTAAGTCCATTTTAATGTAGATTAAACCCAATCACTAGCGATTGCTTCTGTAATTTCAATAGTAAGCTGCAGCTTTTATTAAATTACCTGACCATCCTGCCATGAACATCACTGTTCAGGCACTTCCTATACTAGGGTGACAATGCTGCATCCCTGTCTTCCCATTATGTATTATAATATAACCTTTTCCATATGCCCTTCATTGCACAGACATGTTCCATCAAGGTCACCATTAGGAAGCGGGTCCACAGCCGTAAATATGGCGCTGAATGAAGTCCATAAGAAATTTGCCATCACTGTGTGTTGTTGTGCTTCATTTAGTGGTCTGTAATACTGACACTTAGAATATACCTGTGTTTGTTGGTAGTTTCCATCAGAATGACAAGACTCAACTAATTTGGTCTAAGGCCCGGTTCACACCTGGGCGTTTTGTAGCGCGTTCGAACGCTCTGCAAAACGCTCAAACACCGAAATCCCATTATTTCCTATGGGTATGGTTCACACCTGGGCGTATTACAGGCCGTATGAACGCGCTAGAAAACGCCCAAAGAAGTACAGGAGCTTCTTTGGGGCGTTTGTCGCGCATTTTTTTTACCGCGAATCACGGTAAAAACACGCGTAACGAAACGCGCATATTCAATACACCTAGGTGTGAACCCAGCCTAAATCTGACAAGTTTTGCATTGCAGTATAAGTCTAAGGGAATGCAGATTAGGAGGTTAACTACAAGGTCAAATGCCCCGTGTCAAAAAAAACAGCCAAAAAAGCCAGTTGACACAGGCCCTTAGTCTTCCTGGGCCAAAAGAGAATAATTGACATAAAATAACAGGGAGGGATGCACCGATACCGAGTATTTGGTCAAAGACTGGTACTTGCCCAAATGCTCCGATGCTTACCCCCAATAGGAGATTTCCTCTGACCAGCAGTGCGGCGAGGGAACATGGAGCGGGGAGGCAGGTAATGACTTGCTGCACGGCTTCCTGATCTGCCGGGAAGCCAGCTCCATCCTGTTTGTCCGTGCCAATGCCAAATCAGAAAGCTGGGTGGTGGGTAATGACCCGGCTTCCTGATTGCCTGGGAAACCGGCTTCCCAGCCAATCAGCATGGAGCTGGCTTACCGGGCAATCACGAAGCCAGACAGCATGTCATTACTTGCCCCCATGGCTTCCTGATTGCCCAGTAAATCGGCTTCATGCTAGCTTAAGTGCCGGTATCAGCAAGTACAGAAAGATAAATATCGGTACTCCTTACTGAAAAAAAATTGACTCGGTGCATCCATAATAACAAATATTTAACAGAAAAATAAGAAACAAGCTGCAGAGAGAAAACTAAACAGGACTAAAGGACAACTGAATAAAAACCAACATCAGTTTGTCTCTTTGGCACCCAACTCTACCGCATCCTAACACTGTATGATAGCAATCACCTACTGCGGACAGTCACTAATATGACAATAGGAGTAATGCCTGCATGCCATATCAACCTTCTTTACAGCATTATTAGTAACTACTCCCTGACCGGTGAATTAAGATATCTATTTATATACAGTATATATCAGGGAAATGGTGCAGGTTACAGCTGTTCTCATTCAGTCTAAGCCAGACAATGCCTTCCCTACATAGTGTTTGGTTTGTGAACTGTAATTAGGTTCCTTTATTTGTTCAAGTTACCTTTGTGATCTTTAAGGCTCCGAGTCTCCAAGGCCCGAATCGATCCCGTTTCAGAATCTACATCATCCAGTGATGGCCAGCCAGAAATATCTGATTTTGTGGTGTCACAGGTATCCCGGCCCAAAGAAAGTGTCACCTCAGAAAGAAAATCTGCAGAAGCTTCAACTAATGAATCTTGAATAATGTTAGAAGGACTCTGTAATGAGGCGTCCATAGAAGCTGCATATCCCAGTGATAGAGCCATCTCATCTTCTCCAACAGGAACCTGCAGTGAAAGAAAAGTTGAATCAAAATATAGACTTAGGAAACTCTCAATGAGTTTGAAAACATATACAACCAAAACATCTAGATTACAAGATAAGGCATCTAGTTTCATCTACATCAGGGGTAGGCAACCTTGGCACTCTAACTTGCAATGCCTCATGGAACTTGTAGTTCCACAACAGCTGGAGTGCCGAGGCTGCCTTCCCTGATGTAGATTCTAACCTCAGGTAAAAGTAACCTTGGCTCTCCAACTGCAGTAAAACGACAAATGCCCTCGTGCCTCTGGGAGCCATACCTGTGCCTGGTAGAGTCTTGCAATGCCTCATTGCCTACCCCTAGTCTAACTGGAGGTGCACCAAAATGGAAATTTTAAAACCGAAATAAAAAATATTGTCAGGCCGAAACCGAAAATGTTTTTTTATTTTAATTTTTTCAATTTTTAAAAAAATATTTTATTTGTATTTATGTATTGTATGTTTCGGCGGCCGATATATCGGTGCATCCCCAATTCTAACCTATCAATTTCATGTGTAAAACTAAATATTTTACACAGATTAAAAAAAACAAAACTATTTACCTTTGACACTCCTGAAATGATTAAAGTGCTACGTTTGGTGGGAGTCTTCTTGGATGGCTTGTTTGTTGGCTCAGTCAGTTGCCTAATTGCCGTTTCTGCCACAGAATCCAATTTGACAGGAGATCCCTCCAGTAAGTACATGAAGCTATCTGTTGGTCAATAACACATTCCTCTTTATTTTTCTGCGTATGACATAACATTCATAACTTGGGTACAAATAATTGGAATTATTTACTCAATATAAAAATCTATGGTTGCGTTTCTTGACTGGTACGTTGGTTCTGGCTGTTAAGAAGAGTACTGTTGTAACTTCGGTAGTAACCTATAGGCTCTATGCTACTAAACCTTGTGACCTGCCAATAGTGTAGTGCTGGTATATGCCACAATGCTGGTCACCAACAATGTTTTTTATGCAATACATCAATATGTACCTGACCCCCGGTGCCTGGATATCTGCAGCTTGGACCAGTTTGGTGTATTATTGCTACATACAACCAGTTCTGTTTGCTTTAAATTATCCATTTATTTCACATAATAAAGCTGGTTCTAGGGAAGGCAAACATTCTTATCACAAATAGTCAATAGGTTACCGCTTCCACTTGGAAAGGAGCCAGAAGAGCAGGCGTGAGGCAACACGACTGGTTTGTTCTCCGATACTTCTACTTTTGTTGGAGACCTGACAGCAGAATCTGAAAACCACATTGGAAAATCAGGTCCTGGGCTTGATATACTTTGTCTCAGAGTGCTAATAATTACTAAAGGATATGCTTATTTTATTGCAGCTTACCAATCCTTGTGTGATGGATGCATTGGTTTCATTTTTCAACTAAAAATTCTAAGTACAGAAAAAACCCACTGATCTGGCAGGAAATGAATTGTCCTCGTCACTTCCTGTGAACTCAACTTAAAGTGCATTTCCACTTTTGCAGTCAAATTTGAGAAAACCCGTCTATAATTTTTGCTATGTGTTCCTATTCACACACCATACGTGAAAACGAGGCCTGGAACGCGAGGCCTCGGCACCCGGAAATGACGTAAAGTCTCACCGGAAATGACCTATCCGGCCCGGCCGTAGAGAGAACTCATGAGGCCCCTACCCACGGTAACCCTCCGACTAGGTCCCCGCAGGAAGAGCCCAGCCATGGGAGTGACAGTTTCTCCGGTACTGGACCTCCCCGGGCACTAAGCGGGAGATGGAAGCCAGGAAACCCCTGCATAAGCGAGGAGGACTTAACTTGAGGCCTTTGTTAAAAAGACGTATGTACCTCCACATGCATTATAGAGGGGTCAAAAAATAAAAAAAACTCCCAGCGGAGCTCTCCTCACCGTTCCGGTGACATGCCTTCTTCTTACGAAGGAAAGACAAAAAACTGATGGACTTTAAGAGACTCCATCTCGTAAGCTGTTCTGGAAGACGATTAGGGAAAATTATTTAATTTTTTTTAACCATTTAGATGTTTTGTTGAAGCAGGCAACATGGCTGAAATCGAGGTTTTTCTCAGCACCTTCACAGTGATCTGTTGTAATTGTAAGATAAAATAATTCAGAGCAGTATCACATGAAGACCAATCTTACCCATCTTCCCATCAAACTTGGGTCTGGACTGAATAGTAGTTACAGTGGTTATTAGGGTACCATCTGGCATCACAGTGCGATCCATCTCCACTTTCTTAGTAGGTGTGATGCTCAGTCTTTCAGTTGGTGCCAGAGCAGCATAAATAAGATTAGCCTATGGTATATGGAAATGGGAATGGAGTTTAAAAATTGGAAGCTAGCCGATATCTACAAGATGAATTGTAAATAAACCCAAACACATACATTGCATGAAAAAGCTTTAGCAAAAACTGGACACAAACATAGACCATTGACAAAGACCATTACAATCCCCAACATCCAGGTCCACAGTGTCTGAAAACATTGATGCTCAGATATCACTGGGCTGTAGGCATCTGTGTAAATACTACATCAGGGTTGATATAATTGAATTTTATAGTTAAAAGGAGGAGAACTATGAGGCGAGTGCTTTGCACTCACCTCATAGTTCTAGCCGACCTGTGACAATGAGAGTGTCACAGGTCGGCTCAGTAGATCGGGAGGTGAGCGAACACATACCGGCGTTCACTCACTTCTCAATCCTGTCACGGCTCTCTGCCGTGACAGGGGAGGGGCTGGATTCCCCCTCCCCGCTCCTCCAACGCTGAATGGCGGAACGGACGGGGGAGGGGGCGGGTACAGCTGGCTCTGCTTCTAGATAGGCAGAGCCAGCTGTCACTCACGCAGCTAGGCGGATCCAGACATAATTGTCGGGATCCGCTTCAGCTGCGGCGTCTCATTATACTGCTCGCAGTAGCTAGTAGCTATACTGAGCTTAGGGTGTCATGAGTTATACTTAAAGTGACATTAAAGGATAAAATGTTTTTCTCTCCCCTCCAATGTTAATGTCAGCACTTACCTTAAATTATGTTTCTTAAGCCGATCTTCTTCTTTCCTGTCCTTTTCATCTGTCCCTCCAGCGCTGCTGCGGGTCTCCAATCCAGCGCTGACTCCTCTGTGCTTGCTGGCACTTCCTGTCCCACGGTGTCTGCATGCGGGTGCACGCGTCCATATCCTTACCTTGTGTCTCTGCTCGTCTCCTGGCCGAGAATCCGAACTGCGCATGCGCCAAGATTCTTGCGGCCGCCCGAGCAGTTTCGTTTTCTTGGACGGGAGCGCGCAGCAAGAACAAAGTAAGTTTAAACCGGTGTTAAAAGCGTTTTTTTTTTGTTTTGTTTTTTTAACTGTTTGCCTAGATCTACTGCTAGCAAGCAGTAGATCTAGGCAAAAAAAAACCGGAGGGATTAGAACCCCTTTAACCAAACTGCCGAGCCGACTTACTGCGTCTCCGGTCACTGAAGCGTGCCTTCTCTGCTGAACAGTTGGAATGTTTCTTAGCGTCCTCACATCTATACACTTGTATAGAACGTGATGACACAAGGATTCTTAGAGCAATGCAGTGGAGGGGGAAGAGCTCTACGGACCCAAGAACAAGCCGGCTTGAAAACGGGCGACTAACTTTTTTTTTTCTTTTAGCAACCTAGACACAAACGAGCAGTTAACCCTTGCAGCACAGGAGTAGCCCCACTGCAAGTGTTAATAACATTTTCCCCTGGAGTTCTTTCGGAATGTATCAGTCAATATTTTTTTTTTCGTTTTGGATACATTGGGGGTGAGTTAGCAACCCTGTCAAGTTTCTATTGTTGTGTGTGCCCCCTCTGGGGAGATTTACCCTCTCCATTTCTCATAGTAACAATGGTCACCGGGAGCAAAAGCAAGTTAAAATCCAAAATTTGTAGTTGTTATCAGAACAGAGGAGGAAATCTTCCATACTTGTCATGGGGATAAGTGTCTAAGAGGATTTCCCTCAGCCTGGAATGAGCTCTGTGAACTGCCAGAAATTTTATTGTTACAAAAGTCCCAATGAATACGGACTGTGGATGCAGCAGATGAATAAAATTCTCCCAAGGGGCTCCTCTCAAGCCCAGGGATAGTCAAGGACTGGCTTTTATTGGCAAAGGTTATAGATGTCATGCAGGTTTGAAAAATGCCCAATAGGTCTGCTAACTAACTGTAAAGTTTTCCAAACTCTATGCATCCTAAGTAGAACTAAGGCCCATTCCAAAACAGCCTGCAATGTTACTACATTGCAACCAGGCCCATGAGAGCATTAGAACTGACACCGCCTCTTCCCACCAACAGGAGAACATATGAAAGCTAGGCAGAACACAGCCCAGATGTGCAAAGGCAGTGTATGCTCTTCTGCATCCAGTTCCCATGTGTACAGAGACAGATATATATACACGTTAGGTTGTCTAGTGATTAGTGTTCCTCACCTCCACAGAGATGGCTTGCATTGTGGTTTTAGGCAACACTGGACTTGGAGTCAGAGGGTATACACGCCTTCGACTCATTTCTCTACTCGGTGAACACAGAGCCACCAAGGTGTACCCCAAAAGGACATCTGCCCAGAGAAAGGGTAGCACAGATGTTTAAATGGAAGAGTGAGCACATTTCACTCAAGAACATTAAACAACCCATCAGTAAAATTAAAATCAATACTTACTGTCTGTACTCTGAGACAACTGCCATATCTTCAAAGAAAGGCTCTTACTCTGAAGTGTCAGGTCACTGTACAAGGAAACACAACAGTTATCCTCAATTCCTCAAAGACAAGAACTCAGATCTCACAGGATACCTAATGCAAGTCAAAAATGTTTAGTCATCCAACCCTAAAAACAGCTTTTTTCGTACTGAACGCGGACATATTTCCCTTTCCCATTACACCTGCTCACAATGTCATTTCCTCACTCCAGGAGACACTGCAGACCTCCCCTTTGTTCTGCAATCTGACAGCTCGGGTCTGTTTCCTTTGGAAGGGATTGTCCAGCTCAGCTTCACACATCAACTGAACATCTAAACAAGGAACATCGAAACACAGAACAGAAAATGAAATCAGCATTTATATAGGAGCAATGTCTAATATTGTGAGATAATTAATGCTGCAATACTCTGAAACCCATCTTTCCTCATCATCTATAAATTAAAGAACAAGCAAGCCCTGTTATTGTTCAATACACTATACAGCAAATTTCCATTGCAGCATTCATCCTAGTCATCACTCCATAGACAGGCAGCTTCATTGATCAGACTACTGTCTAACTATGTTGGCAAAGCTAACAGCCTGCACTTTGATCTTTCTCTTGGATTGGGGTGATCCTGCTGCATGTATATGGTTATAATGTTGGTCAGAACCAAATCAATTGAACCAATCAGAACCAAAATTGAACCAATCAATTTTTACTATATAAATAATGTTATTAGTATATTATTGTGTATTCTTGTATTGATCAGTGATGCAATACCTGCTTTTATAGTGGTAGAATGCAGTCACTAGTATGCTCACCTCCCAGGTCACAATGCCAAATTGTGGAGCATGGAGTGTGCACATTTATGAAAAAGAGTCACCTGTAGCCTAGTGCAGATTTCCAGAGTGTTAGGCTGTTGATTGGTTCCACTTTATTGCGTTCAGCTACTGTATTATAAGCCCACTCCACATACACATGCAATAGTAAAAGAAGACAAGAGCTTACCTGCATCTAGCAGCATTACATTGTGTAGACGCAGCTGTTGAACAATTAGTCTGAAAGGCTCTGCTTTTGAGGAGGATTCCATCAGTAGCTTGTCACAAATACCCTGTTGAGGACATAAAAATCTATGACAAAAGGATAAATATAATAAAGGAAAATTGTGCAACAGAAATGTGACTCACCATATCACCGTTATTAGCATTTAAGGTAAATATCATGGCAGGTTCCGCTGAGAACAAAGCATTCTGCATTAGATCTTGTAATATGCAAAGATCTGCACTCCTCTCAGTGCTCTGTGTATGAAATAAAAACATTCCAAGTCAGTTCTGCTGGATGGCTAACTGTAATGCTAAATCAAGATAGGGCTGAAAACAGATATACCGCAAAATACTACATTTATAAAAATACTTCTCACACAGTGGCTTAGTGCTTAGCACTTCTGCCTTGCAGTACTGGGGGTACCCGGTTCAAATTATGACCAGGTCACTATCTGCACAGGAGTTTGAATGTTCCCCCTGTGCTTGCGTTTGTTTCCTCCCACTACTCTGGTTTCCTCCCACACTCCAAAGACATGCTGGAAGGTTAATTGGCCCAGTATGTATGTACACTATATTACCAAAAGTATTGCAACACCCCTCCAAATCATTGGATTCAGGTGTTCCGTGAAATTCCTTGCTAGTAAATATTTAACGGTCAACTGTTAGCAGTATTATAACAAAGTGGAAGCAACTGGGAACAACAGCAACTCTGCCACGTAAAATGACAGAGCAGGGTCAGCGCATGCTGAAGTGCGCAGAAGTCACCAACTGTCTGCAGAATCAATAGCTACAGACCTCCAAACTTCGTGCGGCCTTCAGACTGGCACAACAACAGTGTGTAGAGAGCTTCATGGAATGGGTTTCCATGGCCGAGCAGCTGCATCCAAGCCTTACATCACCCAGGCCAATGCAAAGCGTTGGATGCAGTTGTGTAAAGGACGCCGCCGCTGGACTCTAGAGAAGTGGAGATGTGTTCTCTGGAGTGACGAAGAAAAAAGAAAAGGCTAGTTGCACTCCTTACCGGTATGACCCCGTGATCGGGGAGGGGTGCTCGGAATGACTGCGGATGGCGCCGCCAAATACAGATAATTGCAGAAACGTCACCAGCACACCAAATCCTTATAGGATCAAAGTTCGTAGATTTTATTGCAAACTCATGTCAGTTACACAAGCGCTTTCGGGGCCACACAGGGTCCCTTCATCAGGCATAACAATGACAATTGCTATGCCTGATGAAGGGACCCTGTGTGGCCCCGAAAGCGCTTGTGTAACTGACATGAGTTTGCAATAAAATCTACGAACTTTGATCCTATAAGGATTTGGTGTGCTGGTGACGTTTCTGCAATTCTCTGGAGTGACGAATCACGCTTCTGTCTGGCAATCTGATGGACGTGCCTGGGTTTGGCGGTTGCAAGGAGAACGTTAATTGCCTGACTGCATTGTGCCAAGTGTAAAGTTTGGTGGAGGGGGATTATGGTGTGGGGCTGTTTTTCAGGGGCTGGGCTTGGCCCCTTAGTTCCCGTGAAGGGAACTCTTAAGGCATCAGCAAACCAAGACATTTTGGACAATTTCCTGCTCCCAACTTTGTGGGAACAGTTTGTGCGTGGCCCCTTCCTGTTCCACATGAATGCGCACCAGTGCACAAAGCAAGGTCCATAAAGACATGGATGAGCGAGTTTGAGGTGGAGGAACTTGACTGGCCTGCACAGAGTCCTGACCTCAACCCAATAGAACAGCTTTGGGATGAATTAGAGCGGAGACTGCGAGCCAGGCCTTCTCGTCCAACATCAGTACCTGACGGCACAAATGCGCTTCTGGAAGAATGGTCAAACATTCCCATAGACACATTCCTAAACCTTGTGGACTCCTTCCCAGAAGAGTTGAAGCTGTTATAGCAGCAAAGGGTGGGCCAACTGAAAAGCGATTCTTACAGCGAAACAAATATAAATCAGGAATCAAATTATTGGACCATTTTTAAAATTGTTTACCTGATGTGAACGACTAGGCTTAATGTCAAGCAATATCTTGGGTCGGTCCTTGAAACTCCAGGACACGAGCAGCCCTTCCTGTACCAGTTCCTGTAGTTTAACTTCTACCTGAACACACACAATGTAAAGAAAAGGTTACATTTGCAGTTTTCCTTTGGTTAGCCTTCAATTGATGTATATTTTCAAAATATATTTTAAAGGAAATTTATTATACAATCACTAATCCCAATCTTGCCGACTCAACCTCTGCAACATTTCAAAAATTCTCCCCTTTTAACAAATGACCCGGCAAAGCTTCTAATTCACTCCCTTGTAATCTCTCGCCTCGAATACTGTAACTCCCTCCTTGCTGGCCTACCACTAAACAGACTATCCCCCATTCAGTCCATCATGAACACTGTTGTTGCCAGACTCATTCCCCTTACCAACCAATTGGTGTCTGCTACCACTCTGCCAATCTCTCCGCTGGCTCCCACTTGCCCAAAGAGTAAATTCAAAATACTAACAACAACATACAAAGCCAACTACAACTGTGCCCCTAGCTACATCACCAACCTCATCTCAAAATATCACCCAAACCGTCCTCCCCACTCCTCTCAAGACCTCCTGCTCTTTAGCTCCCTCATGACCTCCTCCCATGCCCACCTCCAGGATTAATCTAGAGTCTCTCCCATCCTCTGGAACTCCCTACTCCAATACGTCTGCTTATCTCCTACGCTGTCCACCTTTAGGTGATCCTTAAAATCGAATCTCTTCAGAGAAGCCTACCTCATCACAACATAACTGTCATTTTACTTCTTCTACTAACTCACTCAATCTACACAATTATTACCTTTTGTATCACTTGCCACTCCTACTAGATTGTAAGCTCTTAGGAGCAGAGTCCTCCTAATCCTCCTGCACTGAAATAGTATTGTAATGGTACCGTCTCCCTCCATTTTGTAGAGGGCTACACAAACTGTTGACACTATATAAACCTTGAATAATAATAAATCATATGATAGCTTACCTGTGCCTGTTCTATAGTTAAGGATACCTGGTAAGTCTCACAGGTTACAGCAGCAAGAGACTCTTGGGTAACGAAGACTGGAAATTTGACAGCGTCTGCTGAAATATTGCAATGGAACACCTAGGAGGAGAAATTCATTTTGATACGAAGTCTTATCAAAAACAATTAGATAAAAGAAACAGATCAAATAACGATGTCCACAAGGGGTAGGGTCTCAACTACATGATCAGTTACTGATGCGTATAAATAGAAAATATAGAAATGTTACAGAAATCATTTAAATAATATCTTATTAATGTCATCATTTGATAATCCTCCTATTTACTTATTTTAGCATACATTTTCATGCAGGTTTAGCTGTGTTTAGGCCCCTTTTAGACGGTGCCATCAGTGGATCCCTGCTGATTGGAACGAATGTCACCATTTTGACATCCGGGTCCATCCAGTTGAAAATCGGCCAGTTGATGGAAGTGCACATCTGCAATTACTGTACAACTGGACGGTTGTGGTCTTCAAGCAGTCTAGAAAATTTGCGTCTAGTTGGACGGAAATCGACTTATTAGTGGTGTTTTCGTACAACAAAAATTGCACAATGAAAACTGCACATGCGTAAACAAAAACCTGATCTTTCGAGCGATGAAAATCAGCCAGTTAGTAGTGCTGATGAACGATAATTGCGAACTACATTGGTCTGTGCATGATGGGCCATTTGAACAAAAATTCAACGAGGGTGAGATGTCTGGACTAAACAAAAATTTAAAAAGATTGTACAATGGTTGCACGGTGAATGGCCATGCCAGGGGTGTGGAATTCCTATCGCCCGACGCCCGGGACAGGCAGGTTTGGGCGTCAGGCGAGTGTGACAATAAGGGGGTCTGAGTCTGAATATTAAAAATAGAATGTGTTTGTGCCCCAGCTCAGAGCACCTGCAGTCCTTCATTTAGTGATGTGACAAGCCCCCACCACATCCCACATTCCACAAAGAGATGCTAATACAAGTGATTTTGAACGGCTGTACAGCAGTCCAAAATCACTTGTAACCTGCCTGAATCTCACTCCCCTCCCTATCTATCTCCGGCCATGTACCTCTCCCGGCTGCACGCTGGCTTCTTTTCTGCCATGGTCTTCGGGGTCCCCCCCTCTTGTGGGGGACCCAGGGCCAGGCAAATTAGATTAGGTTGCAGCACGGAGCTCCGAGTGTGCAGTGATACAGGAATGCAGTCTTCCTGTCACAGGAGAACGAGCACAGTGCTGTGCTAGAACTCCTGTGTTGGAGGTGACAGGGACAATAAAGAAAACCTGTCACCTCCAAATGCTTTCACACAGGGGCTTGTTAGCCGTTGCGTAATAGCAATAAAGTCAAGTGAAAAAAAAAAAAGTTAAAAAATAACAATGACAATTAAAAATTTAAATACATAAAAAATAAAATGGAAAAAATAAAAAGGCGATCAAGTAAAAAAAAATAAAAACAAAAAATAAATGAGAATTAAAAATAACCAATATTAAAGTAAAAAAGTAAAATAAAAATAAAAAACTAAAACCCCAGCTGCACCCACCATCTGCATGCATGGGGTATTGTGTGTGAGAGGAGTGGGCGATCCGTTACCGCACGGCAATCGCGCACAAAATCGTGTGGATGGCCTAGCGGTCACAAGATCACACACCAGCGCCGATCGCGCTGGCGGTGCCATTATTGTTTAATGGCACCCCAGTCACGCCTGGCAGATTGCGCGGTTTCCCGCCACAATACCGCTCGTGCAATCAGACATAATCACGGTTGAAAACACTGCATGGTGAGTGTTGCGAAAAAAGGTACATGTACCTTTTTTCAGCGATTACCACACGGATGTAACTCCACTGAAATCAATGGGGCCGCGCGGCAACTGCTGCATGCAACCGCACATGATCGCCCAAGTTTGCACCAGCCCTAAAAGGGTACATTCACTTTCCCAAGTAATTTGGAAAAATTTAATTACCTGCTCAAATCTGGCCCCCTCCCGCTATACTTACCTTTCAGGGAACGGTCCTTCCCATCCGCCAATATGGGTGTACTATCTGTAACTGTGCCATGTATTATGAATTTTGCTTGCAAATTGAAAGCACTCGTGGGTCAGCGCGGTCACCTGACGCCACTGACCAATGAGAAGCTCTTCTTGGCACTGCTAAATACAGTTTTGGGTAAAAATTATTTTTATGTATCAGGACAAGTAGATTGTCATGAGGGACAAGTAGATCGGGCCCCCACTTTAGTCCTTGAACAAGTAGTTTTTTTTAAATTCCCACACCCCTGCATGCATTAGGAAATGTCCTATAAACCAGTGGTTCTCAACCTGTGTAACCTCAGGACCCACATTTGTCCTTGGTCATTAAGTTGTGACCCAAGTCGCACTGCAATGGAACGCACGATGTTCCGGTGCAGGCGATTGAATTGTGGGCGGGAAGGGGCATTTGGGGTGCCATTCAAATGAATGGCAATGCAACGCACCTCCCACACCAGAATTCGTAGTAGGTGCGATTGCAGGACTGTTCGATTAATGCACTGTACTAGTGTGACCGGACACACACACACACACACACACACACACAACCTCCCCCCCCATTTTTTTGTTTTTTAAGATCCCCCTACCTTACGAAAACTGGAGTGGATCCTCAGCCTGGGGTCCAGTGTGGGCTGCTGTGCTGTAACGGAGCTCCATCCACGTGTGCATTGCTTGTACAACTCCCTTGTGCACTCTGTATCGATGCCGAGAGCCAGAATGTGACGTCACTTCAGTCCAGGCACCTCTAAAGGATATGCGAGGATGCATGGATGGAGCTCCCTTGCGGCCATAGCTCCAGACCACCCCACCTCATGCTGACACTCGGCGCCAAGCAAAATATGAATGGCTGCTTGGCGCGAGAACTCACAGTGCTGTGCTAGGGGAGGCTGAGAAACCCCTCGCCTAGAAAAGTGGAAGGCACGCGGCGACACACTGAACACGGGGTCGTGACCCACCACTTGAGAACCAAGGGTATAAACGCATATTTGTCAATGCCAGTATGAATGAGGCCTAAACGTTGATGTTATCTGCTAGCAATGTTCTCACCATGCAGTTGTCACAATGCTTTGTACAAGTAACATCGCTGATTTGCACATTTCGCTGAATGGAGAAATTCTCTTCAAATTGCATCTTTAGGGAACTCTGAGTGAGAAAGAGACAAAATTATTACATTGTGAATCCCATAATGTATTTTTTAATAAAAAGCAAACATGACTTATTGTCCATCCATTTCCTTGTACTTGGGATTTAATGATTTCTAGCAGAAGTGTGTGTAAATAAAGAATCAATGTGTGCTGCAGTGCAGCACACATTCCCCTACTTCCCCTCCTAATCATTTAGTAATAGGATAACCAAACACGGTCTTTGGCTCAATATTGATTTATATAGCAATGGAATATTCCAAAGTGTTATTACATTATATCATTCTAATCTTTATTTTAGCAGATATAAATTATTTATAAACACAGAATTTTGTTACATAAAAATATCCTTTTTGGAGACACTGAAAGGAAACAAAACAAACAGAAAGAACAAAATCAAATGAGTTAAGATGGCACCAGCTTCTTCCTCCAACAATCCTAAGTTTAGGGTAGATCCACCACTGGACGCAGGAGTGGAAGAAAGAGACAATGAGGTGGAAATATGGGGAGTTGCCATTTCTGACCTCCTAAAACTGCTAGTAATACTGGTGTGCTGGGCTTCAAAACATTCTCAGTCATTAACCCGCAACAAGTAAGTCAATTTGAAACTTAAAGAAGAACTCTGGACAAATAAAATGTTAACCCTTGCAGTGGGGCTATTCCCGCACTCCAAGGGTTAAGTGCATGTTTTGCCTAGGGAGCTAAAATAACAGTTCTACTCACCCGGACCATGATCCCAGATTGCACTTAGACCCTTCCTTCTTGCTCCTCTGCTCCGGCGGTCTAATGTCCTGTGGGCCATCATGTCCATTTGTGTATCACTCGGCTGTAGATCCTCAAATCATCTCTGAATTGGTGCTGACACTGTCCTTCCTTCTGGAGGGGGACTACTTGTGTCCCCCATGGTCCCTGTGTGTGCTGTAAAGTAGCCACCGCTCCAAGCTCACTCCGGTGATGGACTACAATGTCACGTTTAGTTTACCAATTTGTATTGAGATGGCAATCCATCACAGGAGTGAGCTTGGAGCGGTGGCTACTTTGCAACAAACACAGGGACCATGGGGGACAAACGTAGCCCCCCCTCCAGAAAAAAGGACAGTGTCAGCATGCATTCAGGGCTTGTTCACACCAATTTCAATGCGTTCCAGCAGAGTTAGTGGCTGGAACTCACTGGATGGCATAATTACAGCCTCCCTGTGTTCTGCTGCACTGCACTATTTTTTACAATCGCACTGCGGGCATTGCTGTGCACTGGAGATGGTGTGAACAAGCCCTCAGAGATGATTGGAGGATCTCTAGCCAAGTGATACACAAATAAGATACATTTTTGTTAATAGTTAAGGTACTTAAATGTATTTGTAAGATTTCACTCCTGAGCTTAGTGTCACTGTAATTGTAAAACACAGAACTTGCAGAGAGATAGCAGTGTTCCAATGCAATCGGGAAGTTAGAGCTGCAGCAGCAGCTGTCTGTGAGGGGGGGGGGGGGGGGGGGGGCGGCAAAGCAAG